AAAATCTGATTTAGTTTGAGTGGACATGTTTGGAGAAGAATGCCCAGATAACGGTATTTAACAAAGACTAAAATAGATTGAGTGCAAATGTTTGTATAAGAATGACCAGATGATGGTATTTAATAAAATCTGATTTAGTTTGAGTGGACATGTTTGGAGAAGAATGCCCAGATAACGGTATTTAACAAAGACTAAAATAGATTGAGTGGAAATGTTTGTATAAGAATGACCAGATGATGGTATTTAATAAAATCTGATTTAGTTTGAGTGGACATGTTTGGAGAAGAATGCCCAGATAACGGTATTTAACAAAGACTAAAATAGATTGAGTGGAAAATTTTTGGATAAGAATGACCAGATAACGCTAATTAACATAGGCTAATATAGTTTGACTAGAAATGTTTGTGTAAGTATGCCCAGATAACGGTATTAAACAGAGACTAAAACAGAATGAGTGTAAATGTTTGGATAAGAATGATCAGATAACGGTATTTAACAAAGAATAAAAAAGATTGAGTGGAAATGTTTGGATTAGAATGACCAGATAACGGTATTTAACAAAGACTAAAATAATTTGAGTGGAAATATATTTGTTACGTTGAAACTTGTGATTTTGACGTCAAGTCCTTGAAAATAACTGACCCCAAACACCTTGAAAAGAAATCTCTTGTACACCAATTTTCTTGAAGATTCATTTTGTCTACTGTGACCTAATATGTTTTATAACGTTAAATAAAGCCACACATATTCAGTGACAATAAAAGATAATAAAGGTGGATTATAAAATCAAAACTAAAATTATGTGGTCAATTCCTTGCTAAATTAGCTTTACTCATGAGAATTGATGGTACTCAAAATATGAATTTTTACCTAATTTGAGTTAATCCATTTCACAATGTTATATGTACATATACTTTAAGGTAGAACGTTTTTTTAAGGTGTCAATGTGTGATCATAATAAATTATACTGGTCTGACTGATTCTCTATTTTATGTTGTTTTCGTGAAACAAAGGTATTTGAACCACCCTGGAGAACATATTTTTTCAATAACCCAGATTAACAGGCAATTAACTTTAATTGAACTATAAAATAAATTCTTTAACATTTGATGATATTCGTAGAATTAATGTAAGAAATGAAGCTTTTCCTTATTTGGATGTTATATTTTATTTTAAACTGACAGGTAAACATAATATATGAAAAAAGTCAAACCTGACCGGTCAGAAGTCGACTAATTTTTAAGTATAACTCTCTTTCTGTACATAATTTTTGAACATTAACTTTCACCAATGTGACAGTTTGATTGTAATGAAGTAAACTTTGATGCACCATTTGATCAATGGCGTATTTTATCCTGTCTTAAAAAGGTCAACCCTTCTTTTACATAAACATCTTGATACAGCTGTAATAATAAAAACCGTTGATATAATGTTCACACCCCTGATGTTGAAAGATCACTAGATCTTATCAATCCACATATTTTCTGTATCAGTGTTATCTGAAAAGAGGGTATAAAAATAAAATGCAGTCACTAAGAATCTTAATAAATACAATAAAATTTGTTAACCTTTCATACTCCGATTAAGTTCAAGATGGATTTTTACCCAACTTTTTAAAATCACAACAAAAATATTTTATTCTGCTATGCCAACTGACATTGCTTCAAGAAAGCATATCTTTATGAGAAACTGCAAATACTATTTTTTATGATATATATGTTAACTAAAAAACAAATAATTAATTTTTATAAAGGTATTAAAGGTTCAACACTTCCAAACAAATATACCGAGTGTTCAACAAGTACACGTGGAATCAACAAAATAGTCTGGTATAAGAAAAACCTAACTACAAAAACAAAATCTTATTTCAAAATGTTTTATACTTCAATAGAGAAATGAATAAGTTTGAATAAATACACAACACTTAGCTCACTTCTCCTTACAATTTCTTGATACACTAATATCAAATTGTTATTACGAAAATTGATAAGTACGTTAGATATAAAGAGATATTATTTTAAACTGAGTAAATACATTACACTACTTAGTCCAAACCAGGTGAAAGGTTACATGTAACAGATCAGTAAATGTATTACTTTTCTTAGTCAAACCACATCAAAAGCTACATGTACCAAGTCAGTAAATGCTTTACTTTTCTTTGTCCAAAACACCTCCTAGTCTACGTATGCACTATTAAAGATCAAATTACATTATATATATTATTTTGTTTTGTTTCAAGACTTCTGTTACAATATTTAATATGTACATTAATATTTAATCACAACTCCTGACTTACAAGTGTTTCAACTTACCCGATAAAGTAATAGTTTTAGGTTCTGATTGGAGACTGGAAGAACTAGCCTCGGAAGTTGATGATGATAAAGAAAGATGAAAGTTGGTGTTTGTTGAGTCATCAGTATCTTCCAAACTGTTCAATGAGCAGTTGTGATCTTTAGCAGAATATATATTTAAAACAGTTTTCTTACAGATCCGATGTTGCTTTACTTCTTCTCTTTGTTTCGGCATGTTGTAAGTTCGATATTGTTTTTGCTTGTCGGGATATTGTCTATTAGCTCCAGCATGGCGTTCTACTCGTTCCCTCTGCCAAACTTTATTAGCAGGTTGTATAGACATAAGCTAGTAATCGAAAGTCAGATAAGGATTTTTAAAAGAAAACACTTTACTTAAGGAATATTTTCTTATAGGTACAAAGATTACTCTTATTCTGATAATATTTTGTAGTGCGTGTTCTCCAAACATTAATCTTTTCTATGTACCTGAGTGACAGATGTTGCGAACTATCAATAAGTAGAAAATATTTCTCTAGTAAAATAACGAAAACTACTGGCTCATCTAGCTGGCTAATCAATTAATTTCATTCAATATAAAATGGTATGTCATTCAAAGTTTCAATACCTAATAGTTATATCTTTTTAATGAAAGTTTCAAACGAAGAAATATTTGAACTTAGGTTTCTAATGCTGAGTTAATCAGTTGAAATATAGCTTTATAGATGCTGAGTTTGGTCATGGTGAGTTGTTGTTGTTGTGCTAATCCTTTTACTGAGGTAAAGGTTCCATGCTGCAACCTTTGTCCTTTAGTGGCAAGCTAGCGTTTGTAGCCTTATATCAGTTCATATTAAACATTCAGTACTTGTTTGGTCCTTCTCGTACTCTAGTAACCTCTGCAAGGTGACACGGCATGCTTTTGATGAAGTATTCGATGTAATACATCGTGATTTCATTCTAACTTGTCACTAAAAGACGCTGCAACTCAGCTACAGTAGTTGGTTTAGGATCGTAGTTAGCAATCTTCCGGCTCAGTTCTGTCCAACAGTTCTCAATGGGATTACAATCTGGAGACTTTGCTGGCCATGAGCAGTTTTGTAACGTCCTCCTGGTTGAGATAATCCAGTACAAGCATATGGCAGAAATATCGTTTCCATGTGATGCCTGTAGGATGCGCCATTGACGTTTTCCATGAGGATATGAAGAGCAGTTTTCCACCATAATGAATAGCTGCCCAAACATGTACTGCACCACCTCCTATGGGAAAGACAGTCTTCTCTTATCTGTTTTCCAGGCAAATGACGAACACGAATCCTACCATCAGATTTAAAAAGCCAAAAACAGGACTCATCTGAAAAGATGACATGTCGTCAGTGCCCTAACTGTAACTTGGCATGCTGTCTTGCTCAAGTAACACGGTGATGGTGGTGAATTCTGTTTGATATCGGTTTGAGGATAGCCCTTCTCGCAAAGTAATCTTGTTTGGTCAATCTCCTATTCCATATTATTCTGAAACCCTGGAACGAACGTGTTCACACTATTTCTGTCATAAGATGTTGCAAGACTTTTTTCGGCCTTGTGTTGTTCACTTGATGAAATCATGGCCATCTCGGGCAGTAGGTTTTCGGCATTTACCAGCAGACGTTCCTGGAACAACGTTTCCTTTAGTCCGATGACGTTTCAGGATACTTGATACAATACCCTGAGGGTACCCTACTGTTCTGGCAATGTCCGTTTACTTCATACCATTTCTGGACAGTCGAACAATTTGACGCCCAATAAATTCTGGCACGTGACGAGGCATGACTCTACACCGAGTACAGAAAAATTGTCTGAACAAACCGTTGATCTGTTTCGAAAAAGATGCTGAAAACAACTTATACGGACCAGAATAACAACTCGTACATATTTGTCCAATCATACGCTATCTTTTCTGTTACTATTCAAGCATTTACTCAATATCTACTCCATCCATGTATAAAATAGCATCAATATGGAACAGTTTGTAAACATTTTGGCCAATTCTGTAGAAACAAGTAATACAAAAACCTATATACGTGATCTTTTGGTTGTTGCACAAAAAGTCATGGTCGAATTATTTAACTAGATGGATTTTGAAATACAACACCGAAGCTTTTGTCAGACTATAAAAGTGATTATATCTTGTTTATGTTCCGCGAAAACTCTTTAACACCAGTAGCCACATTTAGTACCAATAATAAAGAATCCGACTGGATCAATAAACCATAGTGGATATAGGTTTTATTTATTTGTTCACGTATTTATTTGTTTTTCCTTGGCTGTCTTTGTTCGATTCATTATCTGCATAATTGTTCAGGAATCTGCGTTTTGTGAATACTTTAAACTTGTTTTTTGGATATCAGTGTCTCTGAATATCGCTAATCATATCAATTATTCGGGTTATACTTACAAAAATTCAGAATTTCTATCTATATGTATAACCCACTGTATTTAAGTATAAAGCAACTGTTTTAACAACTCGATTTACCTCCAAGCAGCATTTCCTGCTAACAACTGATCTGTGCTCCAAAATTCTCCAGAACTTCTCACGTTTCTTTAGGAACTGAGGTAACTTCTGTCGCCATGAATTTCCCAACACCCAGGGTAAAAATTTATGTTTCAACTCCTCTTCATCTTCCTCCATATCGTGGGCCAAAAATCTGGCAGAAATCCAATAACAGCACAGAAAATTGGTTTCATAAAAATAATCATTCTCCTTTCATATATTTTTCTGCAAAACGAAAATTGGAAGTTATACTGCAGAACTTAGCTAAGCCTGAAAAGTAAAACAAAGATTTAAACTTAATACTCATGGTCTAAATGTTTACCTTAACAAATTGATCAGTAAAAGCTATACAGACACACCACACAAATTATTACGATTTCTTGGTGGGTCCTGATTTTTCATTAATGAAAAATAATTATATAATATAATACTGAAACGCTAAAACGCTGTGAAAAAAAAAATGTGGAAAAGATTTTGAAATTTATTTTCTTATGAAAAGTTGTTTTATGTAGTTTGAGGGAAGTATATTTTAAGGAAATTCGGAATTGAATAAGAATATTTAATGAATTATACTAAGGTAACTTACAGTGCTAGAAAGAAGTTGAGACGAGTGAACTGGCGTATGGTAAGTTTTGCTCGTTTGAAGTAGGCAAAAACCATTGCTATCAAATACTGAGAAAGAGAAAGTTACAGAGAAAAGGTAAAAAATAATTGTATATATATATATATATGAGGATATTAAAAACTGAAACAATATTATATTTACATATTAATAGTAATAAATTAAATACCATATTATATTTACATATTAATAGTAAAAAATTAAGCACCATGTAATATTTACATATTAATAGTAAAAAATTGAATACCATATTATATTTACATATTAATAGTCATAAATTAATTACGATATTATATTTACATATTAATAGTAATAAATTGAATACCATATTATATTTACATATTAATAGTAATAAATTAAAAACCATATTATATTTACATATTAATAGTAATAAATTAAGGACCATATTATATTTACATATTAATAGTATAAATTAAATACGATATTATATTTACATATTAATAGTAATAAATTAAATACCATATTATATTTACATATTAATAGTAATAACTTAAAAACCATATTATATTTACATATTAATAATAATAAATTGAAAACCATATTATATTTACATATTAATATAATAAATTAAAAACCACATAATATTTACATATTGATTGTAAAAAATTAAAAACCATATTATATTTACATATTGATTGTAAAAAATTAAGAACACGTTATATTTACATATTGACTGTAAAAAGGTAAAAAAAGTGGGACACAATACAAATATTCCACATGCTCAAGGTAAAGAAAGTGGGACACAATACAAATATTCCACATACTCAAGAGTAAAGAAAGTGGGGCAATATACAAATATTCCACATGCTCAAGGTAAAGAAAGTGGGACACAATACAAATATTCCACATACTCAAGGTAAAGAAAGTGGGGCAATATACAAGTATTCCACATACTCAAGATAAAAAAGTGGGGCAATATACAAGTATTCCACATACTCAAGGTAAAGAAAGTGGGGCAATACACAAGTATTCCACATACTCAAGGTAAAGAAAGTTGGACACATTAGAACTATTCCACTACTCAAGGGGAAGAAAGTGGGAAATTTAAAACAACAACTCAGTTGAGAGTATTATGCTCTTATTATGGTTAGGTTTAAAGTTGTACAACTTAAATAGTTTTTTTTTTAAACAACACACGACTTAGCTTGTTTAAATTCAACTTACAAATATGGGATAATGTTTTGATCATCATGTCTGATAAATTTAAAGATAATCAAAACCAGTATAATTTGGTTTAAAGTTAATTTATTACTATTTATATGTAAATATTATGTGGTTTTTAATTTTTTACAATCAATATGTAAATATAATATGATGGAATAGTTCTATTGTATCCCACTTTCTTCCCCTTGAGTAGTGGAATAATTCTAATGTGTCCAACTTTCTTTACCTTGAGTATGTGGAATTCTTGTATTGTGTGGAGACGGAGACCAGTACGGAAGAAGATACGTCCCGTAAAATTAAGAGACTTTGTTGAATTGTAATTTTGTGTTTGTAATTCTGTACATTTAATTAAATTATTGTTAATTGTTATTGGTTTGTTGTAAGTGGCTATTGTTCGGGACGAACAATACTAAGGAGGGGGCAGTGTTGCGTCAGCGAGGTCACGTGACTAGTATCACGCCACGTATTTCTAGAAATATCCTGTTCCTTCAAGAATTCTCCAGCATTTACTAGATATATGCTAGTCTGGTATATATATAAGACGCTCACAACGTGACGGGACAACAGTGTAATGAGTAATTGAACTGCAGTCAGAGAGTGTGTAATTGAACGGAGTATTGTTGAAGTCGAGCTCGTGAGGCGTTTGTTACAGAGCGACTATTAAAGTTGAGTGTATCGTAAAGTTGTATTCGGAAAGAATAAACCAGTTTTATTTAAGAAAGGACTTGTGTCGCTAAAGTTTCGTCGGAACGAAGTTACGGAAAATTAACTAACGAACGGAGACGTAACAATATATTCCAAACCATTTATGTCCATTATTCTACACTATAACTCACACCATCCACCAGCTACCAAACGGGGTGTCCTCATTCATAGAATTGAAAAAATCTGCGACATTATGAACTACCGGGTAAACGCAAGCCAGGATGAAAGTTCAAAAGCTACTGTTGTCCAATAGCTATCCGTATAATTACATTACTAAGGCATTCCACAATTTTGACACACAAGACTTTAACAAATCACAAATAGAAACCACCACATCAAACACTGTCTCACGGACTAAGTCCTTCGTTGATAAACCTTTCACTTCGTCACACAATTAGAATATCCAGTTTGAATATCCATATCATACACAAACCCGGTAAAATCTGAAGGATATAGTTACTTGTTCAGCCTTCAATAACAACAATCCATGAAAATCCAAAAACTGCTTTGCTAAGACCAATGGCTTAGATAAATCCTACACAGTTAGGAACACCGTCTATGAAATAATATGTAACAGTGTTCAGCCACATACGTAGATGAATCCAGTCGTTCAATACATGACTATTTCAAAGGACATATTCGTGCCGCATCAAGTCTTGACAACAAAGAAGCCATCGTTGAACATTAGATCAACGCACGCGGCATAATGAACGAGACACCTTATCGGATCAGTATTTTAGAGATTTTTAAAAACTTTCTTCTCAGAAAATTTAAAGAATCTCCTTTTCATTGAGTCCAAACGCTTTTCCTTTAACGGATACAATGTCTGGCTCTCATAATAATATTATTATTTCATGTAAGATTTCTTTAACATTTATTTTTATGATCTGTGACTAACCCTTTCAACAATACTTTTGACACACTTCACCGTGCACCATTCCATTATATTGTTGTAGTTTTATATTCTTTTCGGTTACTATAATTTAAAATCGGTTTTGTAACCTATCACCTTTCATAGACATTTGAAAAGGTCGTAAGTCGAAACGCCTAGTAGAATAAATATACATTTAACTAAAGTTATTTGTTGTTATCGTTGAAAATAGGCTTAGAACTTCTACAAAACTTTAAGGATATGATGTGAAATATTGTTATAAAGATGTGACGTAAAGTTCTATCAGTGGCAACTTTAGGGCTGTTGGGGCTCTAGACAAGAAGTGATTTGGGGCCTCTTAGAGGCTTAATTTTGATGACCTATAAGCAGATTAAACAGTTTCGATTTCGATTTCACTTTGCCCTATCCATGAGACTGGAATGAAAGTAACTTAATACGATATTGATAATGTTCAGTGTATTTAATTCTTATAACAGCTAACTGAAGTGAAGAATATTACATAACACATTGCATCAACATAAAACTCTGAACACAAGTCGTGTTTTATTGAGATATATATTATGAATGTATAATAGCAAATTTTACCACCAAAATAAGTTGAACTCAACGGTCAATCCACATCTTTTTCGATAATCAATGTTGATAAGTTGAAGAAAGAACGTAAGACTGAGATTTTTAACATTGAGCTAAATTCTGTATTGGCCCATTTACAACAAAAATTATTCATAAGACATAAGCTAATAGCCAGTGTATTGATGAATCAATGACATGTTGATACAGAGACTGATAATTCTCTAGTAACCTAATCTAATTTAATTTTTTGTACCTTCTTTGAAGTAAAGTCCCGAATAAGCTCACTATAATATAAATATCTCCCAATTTTATATTCAGCTGAAATCATTGCTAAGCCAATAAGGCGTTTTTGTGACATAAGTAAGCGCAACTAAGTTTTTATTATTTTCAACTTTGAAAATTACCTCTCACCAGACGCAACTGTTACAGGTACAGTGAGAATAATGAGAAGCACTACACATAAATGTAGTTAAATATCAGACATGATTATACTGAACGGCTGTCAGAGCTGTGATTTTTTTTTCTGAAGTTGATTATATCAATTAAAAAGAACTTTTAATCTCAGTCAGTAACTTTGTAGGGTCTGTATCCCTCACGGTGTAAAGATACATCTTTGCATCTTTTTTCAAAATCATCTTTACTCATTTTTGCCAAAGAATTAACATCAAATACGAACCCATATTTGTCCATAAAATGCACCATTTGCCAAAATCTTTCAAATAGGTGAACAATTATTTCATCCACCATAACATGAAAAACTTCAGTGCGAAATTTGTCATTTGGATCAATTATGGGCTCATCTGATGCTTCATCCTGGAAAAATCTAGACTTCTTTCTCACACACTTCTCTGGAACTTTTACTTTAGTATGATCATCAAATGATCCAGCAATGTTTTCAGCAACTTCTACTGCTTTTTGAAAACCATTATACTGAGTCATACAGACATGGATATATTTTAACAATATCACTGCAACATCTCGCGGCATATCGATATTTTGCATACCAAGTAACTGTGCTAAGAAGAAATGTGAATGACCGTATCTTCAGCACAAGTTACACTGTCAAGGTCAGGGATTTTCTATAGTTCAAAAATTATAGTATTTTGGCGAATATTTCTGCAAGAATGTCGACTGATCTCCTTTGAATGGTTTAGCATGAATGTATGAAAAATAACATAAAGATCAATGACCTACTAACAAGCTATAAATACTTTAGCAATTGTCTTGTAATTCACTCCAGAGGATGACGTTGTAACGTCGAAATATGTAGAGTCGTCAACTTTTTGAAGGTCATAGATAGGCCCAAATAAAATGTTTTTAATTGTGTACCAGTTTAACGTTGAATATTATTTATGATTATAGTTCAATAATTGCTTTATAAATTCCAGGTGCCACGAAACGTATAACTTTTACACTATCAATACACTCTCCTATAGAGTTTCAGATGGCATTTTCACTGAATGTGTCACACTTAATGCTAGGACTGTTCATCTTTTTGTTGAGGATGCAAGGAGACCCCTCCAATTACGTAATGGTAAGTTCAAATCTATAAGCTTTTCAAAAAGAGACTCTGTCAATCCAGCTCCTCTAGAGTCATTGACAGCTATGTACCATACAAAATATTCTTCGGTCACAGGTTCACTCGGGGGACAACATTGACAATTGTCAGTTGCTGCTGGCGACTTATATCTGGGGTACAATGAAGGATGATAGAAAATTATTAGTTTCAGCTAAGTACAAGATTTTCTTCAATATAAAATTTTAGATAAGTTCAATTAATTCGTTTTGTATGTATTTCCTAGATAGTAGTAATACATTTCCTAATATTTGGCCATAAGACGGTCATATTTGGCCATAAGTTCCACTTGTCCGAGAAACATTACCATTCTGGACGTCTCCAAGTTTTTCATGATTTTCTGTCCCTCGTAGAGCTAAATTTCTTTCAGCTAAGAACTGAATAATGGGTTGCAGCCGATGGAATATTTTCATCCAGTAATCAATCTCTAACTGCATTTGAGACTGCTGTAATGCATTAATAGTTGTTTTTGAAATTAACTTTTCTTTCTATTTATTCCACTGTTGCATGCCTCATGACTCGTAAGAATATCACTTAAATGTTTTCAGTCATGCAACCCATCGAAAGATAGCTGGCTCGACTTCTAAAATCTTTAAGAAATATTATAATTTCTCAAATAGAAGAATGAAATAAATATTTGCGATAATATACTGTAGAAATTGTCAACTTCGATACCATCACTATCGAAATATTAACATTTTCTGCAATGTATCTAGAATAACGAGAGATTAACACTCGCGATAATAGTGATAATGTTTCGGTACTTAGCTAGGCATTCATTTGCTAGCTAATGATAAAATACGCGGGTGTCGTGCTACCTATTGACTAATTTTCAAAATATAAAATATATTAAGCAATATTAACATTTATATATATATATGTATTAAAAAGGATAAAAATTGTATTTTATTGCAGTTCATTACCCAAAATGTGTGACAAAAATTCTTTGAGCGAGTAGATTTTTTTTATCTATGATCTATAGAGAAATATTTTTTGGTAAGGTGTATTTTTTGCTGTTGTTAAGAGCAAGGTTGCCCAATGTGTTATCTATTATTCTATGTTGTACCCATTGCAAGGAATGAAACCCCGAATTTTATATTTGGAAGCCCTCAAGCTTTGCTCTAAGCCATTTAAGATACAGCTGTACACTACACATAGTTAATCCTTCGAACAAATTATAAAAAAATATATTTTTTAATTATCCTCACAAATGGCAATACAATCTTGAGCTGATGATGACAAAACCTTGTCAAAACGTTGTACATTTGCTGTAATGTTAAACTTATATTAAAGTTTTTCTTCATTACCCATTCAAGCCGTCTCCAGCCATTATTAATCTTGAGCTATGTACAACTAAATATATATAAATATATTATTTAATATTGAGTCAATATTTTAATCTATCATTTTAGGTTTCCATCACAAGAAGTTTCTAGAATGGCTCCATCTTTACATGGTAATATAGATGTTATAGGAAAGATGAATAGAGAAAAATCTGACAAGGTAAAAAGAAAATGGATGTCATTAAAAACAAAAAATGATAATAAATCCACCACTGCTAAGAAAACAAGAATAAATATCTCAAGTCGTCAAACTACAGTTAACGCCTTGAATTGTTCTTCTGCATCTGGAAGTAATCATAGCGATACCAGTGTTTGTTGTACTCCTACAGATATACAAACACCAAGATATCCCAATCCTTGCATTGTAACTATGTCAGAAATGAAAGCTTTCTTTGATCTGATGGGTAAGCAATAAGAAAAATGTAATCATCATGTAGGTATTTTGTATTTGTATTTGCATTTTGTATTTATTGCAAAGCTACTAAGACTATCTGTCGCTTTCGCTAATTTTGAGCTACTGACCATAGAGAGGAGACAGCTAGCATTATCTTACCACCCATCATCCACACTAAGGGATTGACTGTCACTGCTATAATGCACTCTCGGCTTAAAGTGCAGGAATATCAATAATTCTAACCAAATGGTCAACCCACGCCCCAATTATGTAGAACAAGTTAATTTGAACTTTGGTTTATTATCATTATTTTTTTTTAAAAAGATTGACTACTGTTTTAAGATTAAAACTATCTTAGTTTCGGGTAACCTTTTGAACAAATTACCATGATAGAAACTAATGAGTGAAAATTATTGAAACACCAAGCTTCTGCTAATACCAGGAACTTTTCGAGTTTCCACAGACAGTGGCCCGGCATGGCCAGGTGGTTAGGGCGCTCGACTCGCAATCTGCGGGTCGCGGGTTCGAATCACCTTCACGCCAAACATGCTTGTCCTTTCAGCCGTGTGGGCGATATAATGTGACGGCCAATCCCACTATTCGTTGGTAAAAGAGTAGCCCAAAAGTTGGCGGTCGGGTGGTGATGACTAGCTGCATTCCCTCTAGTCTTACACTGCTAAATTAGGGACGGCTAGCGCAGATAGCCCTCGTGTAGGTTTGCGCGAAGTTCAAAAAACAAACAAACAATCAATCCACAGACAGAGAAAACGCAGTAGTAGATCATCATATTTACTATCCCGGAGTTAATGTCTTTCCACGTGGATTTCTTCTCTATACTTTTATTGTGAATTATTTTACTATTAAACCAGTTAATTTGGGTACATATTTTATTGGTTAGCTATTGGTAAGTGATTATGATGCTGAACTGAAGTTTTACCAGTCACTAAAACTGACATAAAATTTTCTGATTCCAGAACAATTAGATTTTTATAGCATTTTTGAGAATCTATAACTTGTAGACTGATCCTGACGAAAATGCATTGGCAAAATTTTAAGTTATATAATACTTTTCTTTCTAAATTTAATATCATTGTACAAATCTACATATATATATATATGTTCAGTGCAAGTAACTTCGCAAAACGTTTGTAAACCCAGTAATTGATATCTTTAAAAAACTTGTTTTCATAATTTAGGAAGTTCACGTTATTGAGAAAGTGATTTAGTGTAATATTGTATTGAAACTGTTTTATTGCAAAATTTTAACCACATTTCACATGCTGTAAGAGAATTATGCGATGAATTTCATAAAGTGAAATTTAAGCCAAGTAAACTGAAGGAGATATTTAACTTTTGAGAATGACCAATATCCAATGTTTGTGTGCGAATATCTGTGTCTAACAAGCATCCAGTAAACTTAACTCATGTATTTCTATAATAATGTTTTACTCTCAGAGGATCGTGTGATAAAAGACTTTCTTGAATGGGATAACTGCATGGTCTTTGCTGATAAGGTAAGTCAATGTAAAGCAATGCCAGTTGAAATATAAAACTTTCCACATGTAGTAAGGATTTCATGCATTTCCATTTGTTTATGCTAGAACTTCGCTTTGAGCAGTAGATAAGTTTCTAAATGTATAGTCCGTTGGCTTCTGCTTCATATGGGGTTCATCTGCTTCATCAGGAAATGTCCTATCGTCGGTAACAGTCACATCAGTGGTAGTAACTTCATCAAGAGCTTCACCGTTTCCTTTCTCAAAACTGAGTAGAGTTTCTTCTTCGACAGTGGCTTCTTCTGGTGGCACGTTTTCAGCAGCGTCATTTGTTCTCTTGTCCACTTCATTCCAACTGAAATGTCCTGGACCGTGATAATGCCAAAGCCTATTGGCATGCACCACTTTTGGCTTACCTCGCTGACCACATTTTATCCGGAAAGTCACGTCTGAGAGACGATCCACTATGTCATATGGGCATTCCCATGGAGAAGACAATTTAAGAGACTTCCCTTTGGTCCTCCTGGGATTATACAACCACACCTTGTCTCC